TGGGGTAAACTGGACGATAATTATTCACAAGAAATCACTGAAGTGATATTCAACAGAAGGCGTAAATAAAATAAAATAAAATAAAAAAAAAAAAACCCTCAAACTACTGAATTGTAAAGAAAAAAAAAAAAATTCCAACACCGATAAACTAAAAAAAAAGCAAAAGCCATTTCATTTAAACATTACAAATTCTCTCTCTTTCATTCTATAGAATAAATATCATTCTTTTAATGTTTGTTTCATGAAGAATGAAATGAAATGATTTTTTTTTTTTTAGATATTTCCAAACATGACCACAGTCAAATATTCTGCGAGTTGCAATTTTGAAGGAGGTTTGAATTTATTCATGATATATTGTTGCAAGCAGAAGAAATTAAGCTGGTCCTGAATAAGACTGGTCCACCTAAGATATACAGGTTCAGGTGATAATGATGCAAAAAGTTCACTGCTTCTATTACTGCTAACATCGTTATTATTAGAATGTCCACCCGTGCCGCTATTATGTTTGCTATTATATGTACTACTGTTCCTACTAGAACTCGAGGTTGTAATTGAAGAGACGGTCACAATCTCTGCTTTCAATCTTTTAGTAAAAGTTTCAAAAGCTATAGCTTCAAATTCTTGATCAGCATAAACAGTTGTAACCATCATTGAACTGATTCCAAGATCATTTTGACCACGATAAAATTGTACCCAACCCAAATCCTCTAAATAACTTTCAATAGAATCTGCAACTATATATGGATCAATAAAATTAAAAGGATAATTATTTATTTGTCTCTTTAAATTTGTAAACAAAGAAAATATTGGTACAAACCCTTTTGAAGAGCTTCCCAGTCATGCGTGTAATAATAGTTTACAGCCAACATATTATGTAAAAATAGGCTGAATCTTTCTACTATATGCAATACTGTAGCTTGTCTTTTCAAGGCTCTTTTTGGACCGGGTGGTTCATTGGAAAGTCCTGGTGGTTCCTTAGGAGCGTTCTCAGTGATCCAGAGTTTGGCGTTCTCAGTCTCTAAAGGGAAATTCCATTTATTTGCTATTCTTAGGCGATCCTCAGGTGGAATATCACGGGTATATTTCTTGAACCATAGCTTAGCGTTTACAGTATGTGGCCCTGCTAAAGCACGGAATAACTGGTTGGTAGAAGATAAAGAACGAAGATCTTTAGCATCATCAATACAAAAGATTATAAGGAAAAGGATTTCAGTCGGAAGAGAAGTTAACTGCATTGGAATACGGGGTGCCATTTTAGTAAATTTATTTATTTGATAGTTTGTTTCACTGAAGGGCTCCCGCAAGGCAATTATTTAGAAAAGAAAACAAGTTTTCTGTTATTATAAAAGGTTTACCACAATATCAAAAGTGAGGTGTTGTTATTTAAATTTTTCTGGTTAATAAAGTTTGACTGTCCCATGGAAGGGGGTAGTGAGTAGGATGTGCGCGTAAAAGAGAAAAGAAAGGAGGAAATGTCGAAATACAAGGTGTATAGAATAAAGATGATTGATAAACCTATATTAACGATATTCTTTATATAGAGGATACCCGTTTTGTTTGATAACGTGATAAAAGCCGGCACTTATGTAACCAAAATAATCAGATTGACAAAAACAATTATTATGCCTTCCATTAAATCTCTAAAGGTTCTATCAATTAATTCAACCAATTCAACTTACCTATATTAAAAGTTGATGTTTCTGTCAACTTGTGATTGGGAAAAATTACCGCCCCGCTCAAAAATCAAGATGATTCAATGATGATGATGGGTAATATAACAATTATGCATTTCTTTTAGTCATCCTTTCTCTTCTAGAGCAATATTATTGACCATTGTTACTATTTAATATAATGTAATTCGATTATATGTGAGAATTGGTTTTCTATCGGTAAACCTAAATTTAAATATGTTTCCAAAAGAATATTTCAAAAAAGAAAAATATTTATAAAAATAACGTTTTTTACTTAAATACAGTAAACACATAAAAATTAGTGTTGCGCGTTTATAATACTTTATTAAATTAATTAACAAAAAAAATAAATATACTAGGAAACGGGAACCGTTAAAATAATATTTTTTTATTTCTTTAAAATTATTCTTCAAAAATTCTTTTTATTATTTTATTAAAATAATTTATCATTCAAAATAATTTCTATATTATTTCTTTAGAATAAATTATTAACGTTAACTTTTTAATACAGCTTTATAATAAATATATTTAAATTATATTAAATTATTTAAATCTAAATTTAAAGATAGGCAATTTGCAGTAGAAAGAGAAAAATTCTAAAATTAAATTAATATTAAATCTTTACTACAAAGTTCCCATATCCCTTAAATGGTAATGATTTTCATTCATAAATCTATTATTTTTAAATAAAATTTAAATATATACAAAAATTTCAACTTTAAATTTATGATTTTTTTATAAATAAATAATATTTAAATATATAAATAAATGTTTTAAATATAAATTT